TTTTATAAATGGGATCTCAGCATCTATAGATTTTGGTTATTTTTGGGGTCTTGAATCAATGTTCTGTAGATGTAGAGAGATGCTTATACTTCCAGAATAAATTTTTTTTGTGATATTCTTTTTGAAGTGTTCACAGATCACTTACTTCAGTAGATCTTTACAACAACCCGTAGAATCATAGAGAGAAAATTTTGTCTTCTAACTAATTCTTCAGATGAGGAAACTAACTTAAGGGAGGCTAGATGACTCTATGATGGTGAAATTGTGGTTTGAAAAATAATTACCAAGATACATGTTGCTCTTATTTCTAAGGTGTCCTGTCCCCTGTGTCTGTATGACTCTGGAGAGAATGCACACTTCCATTATCCATACACCACCATGTCTCATATTGTACAGAGCATTTTCCTCCAAATACATTAAATATCTTCTACTCAGTATTGTTCTTTACATCCTCTTCTCATCATATTCAATCAGGTTCTATTTTTAACATTTCATTCCTCCTCCTTACACCATCTTCCTTGTGTTATCTGGCATGAAAATAGCGCCATCATGTTCTTTCCAAACCATATGAACAGCTATTGCCCATGGCTGGGATGTGCTAAGTGTCCCCCTCTTAACCAGAAAGAAGAAAAGAGAGGTCCTATCATAGTTCTTGCTTTTTTTTTCTCCCAAAAAGTTCTCCTCTTCATCCTTCTCCTGCTCTCCTGCCTGCTTTTGTTCTTAAATTAAGACAGCAGGGCCAGGGATGTGACTCAGTGGTAGGGTCCTCCCTGGGATGTCAAGGGAAGGCCATGATTTGAGTTCTAGCACCACAAAAATAAGTAAAATGTGAATTAAAATGGAATGAAATAAAAATTAAATCACAGACCATGGGCTTTGCAGACTTTCTGCAATTCCAAACCTCGGCCCTTCCCTGGTGAGCAGCTATGATGTGATAAAGGTCTGTAGTAAGGTGAAAGGAAGACAATCTGAACCACTGATGCTCTCTCTTCAGGGAAATTGGGAAATTTATGAAAAGTAGCCACCCTTTGGAGTCCTTGCCTTTACACAGCTACTCAGTGGCTAAAAGAGATGACAGCGTAGTGCACTTCTGTGACCAGATATCTGGGTCTTTCCCACATTTAGTAATTCTCTGTCACCTGCATGTCCTACAGTTCAATTCTAACACCATCTACCTGGAGATAGTGTCAGATCCTGCAGGTGAAGATCTCAGCATCACAAAACTGCCCCCTACTCCAGATACCAGCCCAGCTTCTGTTCAACTGGGCTACAAATCTGAGGCACCCACAATCTGGGCTACAAATCTGAGGCACCCTTTTTTTGTGTTTGATCATTTGCTAAAATGGCTCACAGAAGTCACAGAAACACTTTCCTTCCTTCTACCCATTTATTACCAGTGGATATGCCTCAGGAATAGCCAAGGGAGCAGAGGAATAGGACAGGCTGTGTGTGTGTGTGTGTGTGTGTGTGCGCGTGTGTGTAAAGACTCCACGTCTTCTTGGGTGTGCCAACCTCCCTGCACACATATTTGTTCTTATTCACTAATACAGAGGTTCAGAGACTTTTATAGAGGCTTCATAGCAGGACCACTTACGAACTCAACCTCCATTCTCTCTCGCTTTACCAGAGAATATGTTGTGGGGCTGAAAGTTACAAGCTTCTCTCTTGGCTTAGGCTTTTTAAGTGACTGATTCCATTCCAAGAGGTACTCATTAGAACAAAAGAGGCTCCTATCACCCAGGAAATCCTATGCAATTCTGGAACTCTGTGTCAGAAATTGAGTCAAAAACCAACTGCTAAGACAAAAGATGCTGCCTTGTTGATCTGGATATTATAAGGGATTGGGAAGCTCTGTGCAAAGAATTGGGCACCAAGACCAAAACATTTGATTTTTATTAGAAATCACAATATTGTACCATCACATGGGCTGTGCAGTGTCAGCAGCAAGGTGGGCTTGCTTGGCTTCCAGGCCAGGAGAAATGTAGGTCCTCACCAGTAGGAAGAGTCAAGTGTCAGTCTGGATTTAGGGGCTCCTGAGCATCTCTCCAGATGTGGCCTAGTGGCTAAGGTAAGATGCAGAACACATCTTGTACAGTTGGCTAGTGGCTAAGCAAAGAAAGTGGAGTTTGTAAGAACTGCCAATATGCAAGACAAAAGGACTTGAGTTGAGGATGGATAGGGCTTGGAAGGCAAAGTCTCAGGTGAGTTGGCATCCTTACCATTGTTTTTAGAAAAGACTGGCTCCCTGGATACCTTAATTATTGATAAATGTCCTTCTCTTCACCTCTCCCCTCCCTGCCTCCCTCCTTCCCTCCCTCCCTCCTTCCCTCCCTTCCTTCCTTCCTTCCTTCCTTCCTTCCTTCCTTCCTTCCTTCCTTCCTTCCTTGCTTTCTTCTAAGTGCATAGAATGGGCCTCTCTGTCGGGTCTGCTGTCTTTTTTGAAGTCTAATTGGAGCTGCTCTCCCTCCCCTCTTCCAGCCCGCTGTCTGCAAATCTGTTTTGTGTGTGAGTTGGGCAGGGCCCTGGCGGCCAGTCCTCCCTGGCAAACTCCATCAGGGGACTTCAGCCTCCCTCATCATCACCTGGCTGCAGAGGGGAGCTGGCAGATTTCTGGAACAGTGCTTGCCTGGAATGCTCGGTGTCCACCCAGAGCCCTGTTGCTCTGCAGAACTGTGCTGTAGTTTATTGGCTACTGAGAATCCTGGTGCTTCCAGAAATTTCTCTCTCTCACCTGTATGGAACTCCATCTTGTATCCAGAGGGGAGGGGAAGAGAAGGGAAGGGGAAGGAAGGGAAGATGGAGTGTTGCTCTGTAGGTTGGTTGGGAAGACTCCCATTTTGCATGATTTTCAGCTCTGAGGGTGATAAGCTCTGGATCTGAGTACTGTGAGTTTTCTCCGATACCACCCTGTGCACTGCCAGCCAAGTATGCATGCAGAGCACACATCAGGACTTAGTAGGGGCTGGTCAGGGCTTTGTTTCGATCCTCCTCCTCCTGTGCAAGTGCTATGGAGTAAGTGTGCCGCAATCAGCCAGGGTGCGGGATACAGTGAGAAATGGTGTTGTTTCAGTTTCTATTATGCTTTTACAGCCTCTGGGTCAGACACATCCGTTCTCTGGAAAATGAATGCAGCAAATCATCTGGAGGAGCCACTGCCCTGTTTTCTAGGTGGGCAGCCGACTCTGCAGAAACAGAGAGGAAGTGTGTAGACGCTGCCCACCTTGTGTCCTCCTGCAGCACAGCCACCTCCAGCCACAGGCCAGGGGCCCCAAGGTGTTGCACTGTGTGTCATGTGCCAGGCTGCCCTCACCCCCTGCTGCAGGAGGAGGAGTGTGTGAGCTGCTGTTATTATCACTATGAAAACCCCAGAATTGGGTAGAACCAGTGACCATGGAGTGGCACCTTGGTCTCTGCTCTGTATCACAAAGCCCTCTCTCAGGCCCAACTCTGGGAAGTGGGGTGTCCAGATACAGGGCTGAGATTTGGAGTCATTGCTGTGGCCCACAGGCTCCTCCTCCTCCAGCAGGGCACTGGGTCTGAGATGAGGGGCTGCTTCCTGTCTGCCCACCCCACCCCATCCCAGCCTCACTCTAGCACATTCTCCATGCATTGGTGGCAGCAGACCCAAGGCCAGTGCGGACAATGGCCCAGGTAGCTGCTCTATCCCTCTCTGAGTCTTCTCCTATGAACAAACATCCTATGGAGCCTCCATCCACAAAAAGGCTTGAGATGTGCACCTGGAGCTCCTTGGCACTGCAGGCAGCCTGGGACCAGGGTCATGGGTAGATGGTGGGCTTGAGAGGGCAGAAGCAGCCAAGGGGCTGCTCCCAGAGGGGTTTGAAGCTGCCACATTGTACAGTGAGGAGAGGGCTGGTGAGCAGGACTGGAGTCCAGGCAGGAGACGCAGGTCCACAGCTGAGCCGAGACTGGGGCAGGGAGTGGGGGGATACAGGACTTGGTGGCCCACATGTAATCTGAAGTAAACATAGCAAAATGCTAATGCTGATTTGTGATTACCTTGTTCCATTGTTTCTGCACTTTTCTGCATATTTAAATTATCATATAGTTGAAAAAATATATATAGTTGCAAAGGAAGAGCTGGGTAATCTGTAGTTAATCCAGCAGGAGCTCTTCTGAGAAACTGGTCTTACCCATGTATCTTCACCATGACCTCCTTGGTTCTACTTCTCAATTGTGAAATGCTAGGCAGGGCCAGCAATTTGGATGTGCGCCAAGGAGGGTCTGAGCCCCACCCCCTACACCTGGTGGGCAGCAGAGCTTGGCTGGGTGTGCAGGGAATCCTGGGCAGGTCTCCCTGCTTCTTTCCAGCTCATTCCAAGATTGGCGGCTGCGGAGGGAGGCACCACGGCCTCCGTGAGTCTCCGCCATAAACAGCAGCATGAATCATAGGGAAGTCATCTCTCCCGGTTCTGCAAAGACTGAGGAACCACAGCCTCAAGGGTGACCAGCCTGAAGCTGCAGGGGAAGATGAATAACTTGGAGGAAAAACTTCAGCTGAGTGGCCCCAGCTGGGCATTCAAGCCCAGGCTCAAGGAGCTGGGGGATGGTTCTTTCCATTCTGAGAAGGGCCTGTCTCCTCTGGGAAGGGCCTGGATGATGCAGGGATCTCTGGGTGGACCTGACCCCTTGGTGGTTTCCTGGGGCAGTGTGGTCTCCCTCTAGCCAGGACTGCAAGGTTGCACCCTACCACCTAACTCATCGATTCCCTGCAGTCCCACCAGGGGAAAGAGGCCTATAATGCAGACATTCAGAGGTGGCTGCACACGGGGACCGGAAAGACTGGTTTTCACCCGTGGCAGCTGCCAGGAGATGCCAGGAGGCCGGGGGTAGGAGCAGCACTGGGGTGAGCAAAAGGCAGGGGCTGGAAGAGCTTCTGGAATCTCCAACTCTATTTCTGGCTGTCTCTCCTGGATGTTTTGCATCTAGGGTATGAGCCTGTAACATGGCAACCTCTTTGCTGACCTGTTTGGGAATAAACTGTGCTGGGAGAGAAATCTAAGCACTGGGAGTCCCCTCAGACAGTTCTCTGAGGTCCAGTTGTGCTCTGAACACTTGCAATTATCCAGGAAAAATGAGAACCCCAAAATATTTTCAAGCTGGTGAGTGTGGCTGGGATTTTTTTAAATGTCAAATTTTACGGATGAAATGTAGTTTTGTTTTTTAGTTATGCGTCTTTTAAGTTAAGACGAGGTACAGAGATGTGATCCTTATACTGTCATAGAACACGGCTTCTGAGTATGGCTCCACAGTCCCCACAAGCCTGCATCATTCTTCTGAGCATCATGGAGTTTAAGAGTCCAGTGTTTCATCAGTGTGCACGAGGGTCAATTCTATTTGCTGCTCTAAAGCAAAATTTACTTTTTAATGTTTAAAACATTTTATTTAGATGGAACTGGGGATTAAACTTGGGGTCTTCACATTAAATTAATTCTAAGCCATTTTAATTTTTTATTTCATTTATTTTATTTTATTTTTGAGGCAGGGTCTTGCTAAATAAATCACTAACTTGTCTAGGCCAAATTCAAACCGGTTGTCCTCCTGTCTCAGCCTCCCAGAAGGCCAGGATTGACAGCTGAGCTCTGATCTTTGAAGTGAGGCAAGGACTTATTGGCCTGCACTACTTATCAGTGGTTTATGAAGATGGGGAAATATTTATTTCAGGGGCAAATTTGTCCCTCTTAATCTGCAAGGGATTCAAGAAAAAGTAGCTGCCACGAAATGCCACTTGATTTTTGTGAAACATGTTAATGTTTGGGACAGTTTCTTCTATATCCAAACACCTTCAAAATAATTTTCCAGTGGTCTAATCTGTGGTCATCTGATCTGTGACTGCGTCTCCATCTCTTGTTTTGTCAAAGCCCTTGGAGTGAGAGCTGCTGCCGAGGGGGGCCGTCTGGGACCCCACACTGCACATTTCCTTCCTTCGGGAGCCCGGACGACCTGCTGCCTGGTGGCAGGCATTGTTCTCTCCTTCCTCATCCAGAGGAAAGTCCCCACGGCCCATTTTCTGAGCAGTGCTTTTCCACTCTTTCGTAATCTATTATTCTGACCTTGAGAGCCAGAGAGAGGAGGCTTTGGCAGGGTATGCTTCACAGGGCGCCAGTGCTGCTGGTCTGTGCCTCATGCTGTGTGGGCCCTGCACCCTGCATCCTCCTGTGGCTGGCCCCCGTGTCCACACTGCAGGACTCTGTGTGTGTGTGTGTGTGTGTGTGTATGTGCACGTGTGCATGTCTGTTACAGAAAAGCGCAGAAGCAGAGGCAGACGAGACCAAGAGCATCAAGTCATTTTTCTAGGATTCCACTTGGTACCTAGGATCCTTACCAACATCATTTGTAAACACTGTCATTTGGTGCAAGAAAGTTCCTTCTTTTTTTTTTCTATTTTTATTTATTTTTTGTCTTTTTGAGATAGAGTCTCGCTATGCTGCTCAGGCTGGCCTTGAGCTCACTTTGTAGCCCAGGCTGGTCTCGAAATAGCAACAATCCTCCTGCCTCAGCCTCCCTAGAGCTGGGATTACAGGTGTGTGCCACCAGGCCAGACTAGAAAGTTCCTTCTGAAATGATGACATCCAAGCTAGGAGAGGGTGGCAGGATGCAGAAGGAAACTGCCGCCCAGCAGAGGTTGGGGGAGGCATGGAAAGGCGACAAGAATGAGAGTACCCCACGCCGGCTGCCACCTTGGGACCCAGGCAGCAGGCACGGAGCCTCATCCCTGCGCCGTGCTCCCTGCCACTCTCCAATCTCATTATGCTCTGCCTCTTCGTCCCACTTGGCGCAGGCAGATGCTGCTGCCAAAGCTTCCTTCATCAGATGAAGCCAAGGGGAAATCTGATTTGTTGCTAATTGGGCTCAGGCAATTAGGGTTAAGCTGGCATGAGGGCTCCATCAGACGCCGGGATTTTCAGTGTTTTACATCACAATCCCGGGAAGGGCTTCCAGAATTTAAGTGGTGGCAATCTGGAGAGCGACGTACAGTACTGACATTCTAAATTAGTGTAAATCAGAATACTGGCCACCTGGAAATAGCTACCGAAAGCTCTATCTTCTCTATATGTGCCGTACATGTTTATGTACACGAATGTTTATATACTAGATACCTGTCGTGTGCCATATACACGCCATATGCTAGAGGCATACTTAATTACTAAACATCCTTGTTTACCTGGAGATGTTCTCTCTCTCTTATACACGGCACCATATACTCTGTATATACCATCATATATATATATTTTTTATTTCAAAGAGTAAAAGAAGGATAACATAATAATGGGGGGCTTACCAAATTACAGACAAAGTGGTAGGAAATTATCAATGGTTATTGTTTTACATATTGTTATCTACAAGATAGTTTCTCAGGAAAACAAATAGACAGATAATAGCGAGTTACAGACAAAAATGATAGGAGATTATCAATAGTTGTTGTACTATACTTTGGTATCTTCAAAGTGGCTTCTAAAGAAAATAAATAGAGCTATACATGAGTGATCAATTGAATAATCATTAACTATTCTCAATGATTGTTGTAGGAAACACATAATAATAGACATGCATCTATTTACGAAATAGGATAGGAACAATACAAACATTACAGAGGTATGGACAGATTAGTAGGAAAATATCAATGGCTGCTGTAATACATGTTGGTATCTTCAAAATGATTTCTCAGGAAGACAGAGATATGCAAGAAGGACCTAACAAGTAGTTACAGCCTAAGGGTTGTCAAAAATAGCATATTACCTCCTTACCAGTGACTCCTGTCACTGAGGTGTGATGGCTGGAAGGAAGGCCAGGATTGAAAAGAAGGACTGAGGGACTTGCACCTGTGTCTAGCAACAGGCTGTTTTCTTGCTCCTCCATAGTCATGATTACCCAGGGCTCCTCCACGGAGATGACAGTCTGGCCAGAGGGAGAAGGCAGAGTATGCCCCAGGCCCCCTCATTCCTGTTGGACTAACTGGTAGGATGGGTCTGAGCTCTGGGGCCTCCACTTCAGAGGGCAGACTGATCTCCAGTGGTCACCTTTGCATTCAGGGCATGGCCCATGGGGCTTCTTAGGGCAGTTCCTCT